CATCAGATCATAGAGATTAATAAAATCATTAAATTTCAATACTCCACTTACATATTATGTATAAATGACTTGAGATCTGTATATTTTATATTTCTAAAGAAATGAACTTTGAACGTTCAAGCCAGTCTCGAATATACCTACACAGTAGGTTGAATGGACTGACGCCTATCAGAAAACAACTACTCCCCTGGCTAATACCACGAAGGGTGTTAGATTATATCCGACAGGCGTCAGTGCAGGAATCTTCACAGAAAATTTCCTGCATATGCAATGGGCAATTCAACTGAAAGAGTAGATCTTCAATTTTGGAACGGGCACACTTGCAGACCGGTTTTGGGCTCATTGGCCACTCATCACTGCAAGATAGTGGCCATCATCGACCCAAAGTCAATGATATTCCATAATTGAAAATCGGAATTCTTTCAGAGTATTTCATTCCTCTTCCTAATTCACTTGTTTTCGTAATATCGTCAAATGGCATTACTGGCTGGATGGCGCGCGCGCTTTTATATGAGGCAACAGGCGGGTCTAGTAGTAGTATAAACTTCTCGCTTCGCAATGAAGCTTACCGCCATCTATTGTACAGTTTGACAACTATCGGACAGGAAATAGTTACTGTCTAGTCCCCTAGATGGCGTTACACGAGGAAACACGTGTTAAGCGTAAAAGAGCAGTAAACTTTGTGTTAAAAGCAAAAAACATTTTTAAATTAGCCATAGCCCCCCCAAACCACTTCAACGCCCTCCAATCTTTTCTGTGCCCTTTACTTACTGCCTCCCTATAGGCCTCCAGCGCCCACAAGGGGGCGTTATCGCTCACTTTGAGAAAGACTAATCTAAATTAATACCAAGGTCTCTTATTTCGTTTACCGTGTCGAGTACTTTTCAATCAATATTATATTCATAATGAAGATTATTTTTTTATTTGAAAAGAGTGATGACATGACATTTCTTTATGTTCAGGTACAAGCTGTTTGTTAAGGACCAATTATGTATAATATCTAATTCGTTCTGAAGAATCTGACTGTCTCAGACAGATAACTATAATTCCAAGTCATCTGCAAATAGTAAAAACTTTGCATACAAACAATTCATTCACTAACAAATAGACTGAACAATTAAGGTCCACAATGTGATCCTTGTGGCACACCGAAAGCTACAGGAATTGTTGTGTTAGGAAGCTTCTTATCCAATTTAGTATACCAGTACCAAAATCTAGAGCTTTCAGTTTTTCCAACAACAACAAATGCCTTTCTCCAAGGCATGTAACAAATGTTCATATGTTATAAGATTTGTCATAGTAGATCGCCCTGAACAGAAACTGTGTTGTGGAATTATTATATTCTTTAAGGCCCAGGTCAACTGACAAGTTACTAATTTATCTATCAACTTAGGTATTACAGACTGAACCCAAATTCCTCTATAATTTGTAATATTTCCCTATTGGCTGATTTGAATATAGGTGTAATATAGCTATTTTTCCAGTTATCCAGAAAATGCCCATTATAGAGAGATAAACTAAAAAGAAACTGTATTGGTGAAGTTAAATTACAGGTACAGCTCTTCAACAATGCCGTCGCGTCGGTATATTATCAGGCCCATAAGAATACTTGTGCTTCAAGTTATGGATACTATCAAAGACATCAACCAATCGAATATTAATTTTAATATCAACTGTATCTTTATAAGAGTAGTTTGAACTTATACAGTCTGTGTTAGCATAGACTTTTGTGAAGTGTTGGGCAAACTAATTCACAGAATAATTTCCACTATGGCTGGTCTGGTTTTCCAGACACATTGATTGAGGATATGATGATGCCTTGCGTAAATTGGAGATATGTTTCCAAAGCAAATTTGGGTTTTGTTGAATATCATATTCAATATTGTTTAGGTAATTTTTGTAACAATTTTTACTCAGCTCTTTGCATTGATAACGAAATTGGGAAAATTCAAGATGAATGTGAACATCATTCGTCTTTTAAAATTGGTTTGATCTTCATAATAATAATAACAATAATATGCTGTCGGCATGTCTAGCATAAGCGGTCTCAGCCTATATAAATATACATAACGCAGTCGTAAGAGTGCTTCATTACTACCTATGGCCTAAAGCTCTAACTTAAATGATGAGCACCTTTAGTGGATAGAAGGCATTATTTAATTTTATTACCTATTCACCTAACAGTAAAAAGTAAAGATGAAATAGACACCTCACTTAATTTTCAAAACTACTAGGAAGAGATTTCAAAGAATGTGATGGAATCGGCTGATACTTGATAAAAGTCCATAACGTATTCAAGAAACAGTTTACAAATTTGCAACGAGTATTACAGACATGCCTGAAGAAGCAATACAGCTTTTTCAGTCGTGTCTATACTGACACATTTATATAGACATGCCTTTAAAAGCTATTGTATAGCTAGACAGGCTCTATGCGTCTATGGAATGAATTTTGGGGAAAGAAAAATTGACTATCCTATAACATCAATATTGTACAAAATATATCCCTTACTTTCATAAACATCTTCTTTGCCTTGATCGGCACTATTCATATCATCACGATATTGGTTACAATCTAGCCACACCCTGTAAGTTCTTTGATCTCCTGGTAAAATGGGTCTAGGCTCTGGTCCATCCTCAATTACACGGCCATTACTATCTAGCATGCCTTCAACTTCACATCCTCTGATATGACAAAGACCAACTTGAGGAATAAAAGGTTCTTTGTAGTTGTATTTAGTCCCTACAAAATATAATTTTATTAGGGTGTGTCCCAAAAATCCATTATAACGTATTAAAAAAAAATACTTCAATATGAGATTCCCACTTGAAAGTTTATAAAACCGTTACATGTGTTTCGCTGTACAATAGCATCTTCAGGCGTCAGTATTGTGACGCCGAAGATGCTATTATATAGCGAAACACGTCTCACGGTTTTGTGAACTTTGGGTGGAAATCTCACATCAAAGTGTGTTTTTAAATACTATCAGAATTTTTGACAGTGGTTTCCTGAAAAATATATTATTGTTGATTCTTTTAAAACAGGACAGTTGTGTTAATTCTGTTATTGATGAGTCAATTGATAAATTATTTTCGATGTGGAAACCATATACTGTGACTATACATTTTCTAACAAATTGATCTAACAATATTTAAACTGTAGAAAGGAATGATGACCCTAGACGTTTTTTGAGATTATAAATCAAGTATATTTTTATAACAAATAAAAGTGTTAAAAACATAGCAAATTTCATTTCTCTTTTCTTCATTATGTAGGAAACATATAATGAAATGAAGTCATAAAAACTTAAATGTACCTATCTACAATTGGAAATTATATTCTGGGTATTCCCTGATTTTTAGGGTTCAATATTCATGAAACTGTTTTTCTTTTTTTTTTTTTTGATTTTTTGCGACTCTGACTTGAAATAATTCCAAAAACAAACACAAAAACAATTGCAGTTCTGGTATGTGGAAAAAGTGCCTGTTTTCGTAGTTTTATGGAAAACTCTTCTTTACAGATACCTACTAATTCCATATGTTTTATTACCAGCACACATTTGAAGAAGAATATGTGGTAAATGATTCTAATATCAAAAACTCAATAAAATGAAAAAAAAAACGTGGTAGCAAACCATGAAAAATGAGAATTAAAACTTCCTATGTTTTTAGAAAACTTTTATTTTTAACTAACTTTACTGCAGTTTAGTCCTACAAGGACATTTTCAAACAAATACAATGAACTTTCTTATTAGTACCTCGTCCACTAGATGGAGTGACATTTTGTTGTTCGCTCCAACTTAGGAAGAGGAATGAAATGCTCTGAAAGAATTCCGATTTTCATTTATGGAATATCATTGACTTCATATCGATGATGGCCACTATCTTGCACTGATGAGTGGCCAATGAACTCGAAACCGATCTGCAAGTGTGCCCGCTCCAAAATTGAAGGTCGACTCTTCCAGTTGTATTGCCAATTGCATATGCAGGAAGTTTTCTGTGAAGATTCCTGCACTGACGCCTGTCGGATATAATCCAACGCCCTTCATGATATTAGCCAGGGGAGTAGTTGTTTTCTGATAGGCGTTAGTTCATGTGTGTAGGTATATTCGAGACTGGCTTGAACGTTTAAAATTCATTTCTTTAGAAATACAATAAACTCTTACTCACACAATACAATACAATAGGTTATCCCATGAACTCAAAGACCTAAGTTTGAGAAATTTCAAAGAACGTTTGAAAGTCGTCCTCGTAAACAAGGTAATGATGTCTTTACTATCTGATGACTCTTGCAATGATTTTTGGCACATGTACAAACAGGTTTCAATTCTAAGGATCTGAAATTATTCAATTATTCAGACACTTCACTTATTAATTTCATTGTAATTTTTTTTTCTACCTACTCTATTTTTCTATTATGTTATACATATACAGATATACTAATATTAAATGTTTTTGTGATCTTATAGATTAAGTGTGTACATCCAAGGTTGGGTTTAAAAGTAGCTTCAATGGCTGAAATTCCAAACAATGATATCTCGTCAAAATACTGTTTCCATAAAAATGTCACAAGTTTGTACCAAAACAATTTCAAATACATTTATTTGTCTTAATTTGACTAATATTACTGGAGTTTTTTCCCAACACCAAATCGTTATTTTTAACATCTCGACACGTGTTTCGATCACCAAGTGATCATCTTCAAGAGGAGAGTTTTATCTTCCAAGTGATCATCTTCAAGAGGAGAGTTTTATCTTCCTCTTGAAGATGATCACTTGGTGATCGATACACGTTTCGAGGTGTTAACAATAACGATTTGGTGTTGGGAAAAAACTCCAGTAATATTCATTACTACACCAAAGGTTCCAAACAGTACATGATAAGTTAATTTGGCAAGTTAAATTTTCCTTGCGACTCTTAATTATACAAATTTACTTTGAAGTAAAAAATTTGAAACGAGAGCTATTTAAAATAGTATTTAAAATTATTAAATATACTTACTTTTTAGGTTCATTAAAGAGATAAGGCCCTCTTCTTGGAATGATATGTGGCTCAACAACAATAGTTTTCTTTTCTTCTTGATTCTCATTTAGAGCTGCATCTTCAAATGTCAACCTGAACGGTCTCACCAGTTTCTTGGGGTCATCTGTCTTCACCTGAATTTCATAATTCGGGAAGCAGGACCTCAAATGGTCCATGTCAATAAATGTATCGTTAAAATCCATTGTAGGAATTTGAGAGGGTAAATTTTTGTAATTGGCTGCACTAGGATCTCCATAGCCTAAAATAATGTCATGTAACCAATCTGGGACAACGCATTCCGTATTCATCAGTTCCCGTATGGTTTCTAGAACAGCTTTAAAATTGTTCTCCTTTGGTTTTCTTCTCATGAGTATATTGAAACCTACAGAGAAAATACTTCCAGTTAGAATCTTTATAACAACAATAACGATTTTGAATTCATTAATTTATTTATTTACGGATTAAATATTAGAAACATTCATAACAGTGAACTATGCTTGAAAAAAACTCATTATGTCATGAATATCCAACACGTAATGGAAATTTATAAAGGTGCCTAGACACAAAACCTCCAAATTTACAGAATCATCACTACATAATGCGCAGTCAGCCTTTACAATGCGCTGCCTTCAGCTATTACACAAATTAAAACAGACAAGTTATTCTATAGGACCATCAAAATACTCTTACCAGACAAATACTACAGTTGCGAAGAATTCCTGAATGATTGTAACTGTTAAATGTCTCTATGTATATTGTGGATTTGATAGGTGTATGTCTTNTATTCGAGACTGGCTTGAACGTTTAAAATTCATTTCTTTAGAAATACAATAAACTCTTACTCACACAATACAATACAATAGGTTATCCCATGAACTCAAAGACCTAAGTTTGAGAAATTTCAAAGAACGTTTGAAAGTCGTCCTCGTAAACAAGGTAATGATGTCTTTACTATCTGATGACTCTTGCAATGATTTTTGGCACATGTACAAACAGGTTTCAATTCTAAGGATCTGAAATTATTCAATTATTCAGACACTTCACTTATTAATTTCATTGTAATTTTTTTTTCTACCTACTCTATTTTTCTATTATGTTATACATATACAGATATACTAATATTAAATGTTTTTGTGATCTTATAGATTAAGTGTGTACATCCAAGGTTGGGTTTAAAAGTAGCTTCAATGGCTGAAAACTGCCCATTCATCATTCTTATTAAATATGCATTTGTATACCATTGAATATGATGAATACAGGCATCTTATTATTATTATTAGTATCATAAACTGTGGTCAAATATTCTAGCTCTAGAAATACAAAGTCGAAATAAATTACCATAATTTTTTTTCATTTTCACTCCAATAATTGATATTTTTTGAAAATGTGATTGTACACCAATCAGAATGGAAATTGAAACATACATATTATATTAATCAAAACACTCAAATTCTACCTGTTTTTCTAATATATGAAATTGATATCTGTTCCATCACAATAATAGTTTGAGAAATATCTGACATTTGCATGTCAAAAATCACTCATAATGAAAGTAGTTTCTTTGATCATATGAATATTATTTGAAAAAAAAAGTTTACTTTCTACTTCTGCAATAATGTATAAAAAATATCAAATCTAACAGTAAATAAAGGAATTTCATAAATGTTCGTTACTTTTTATAGTGGTTATTTCCTTCTCTATATATTACTGGGAAACGAAAAAGATAGAAAATGTTTTTCCAAACAATGATATCTCGTCAAAATACTGTTTCCATAAAAATGTCACAAGTTTGTACCAAAACAATTTCAAATACATTTATTTGTCTTAATTTAGAGATACCAAAAAAAAATTTTTGCTTCTTCGTCTTTGCATTTTTTTCAACCGTGTTTAAACCGATTCACTTTTGTTTTATCAATATCTCCCAATACGGGAAATGAGATTAAGCCAACTTTGTACACATGTTGATAAGAATAAGAATCGTTTCCAAATGTGAACATTGGTTTGCGCTTGGCACCTCTGTGAGTTGAATGCCAAAGTACTTCGAGTGTTTTCATCTAAAGGTTTTACATAGAGAGGGGTACAAGTGATTACATCATGGTATCTATCCATCCTACTCTTCATAATGCAGAAAATTTTCAGAAAAAAAATAGCCTGCTTCAATTTTATCACTTGATGAGCCTTTATAGAGTTCAACAGTACGTTTGGAAGTGGTTGACAATGTTTCGTGATGCATTCCATTAGTTCGGACTTCCATTGTCTAATATTATATAAATTGATTTGAAATCCCTAAAAGAATCTGTAAAAAATTAAAAAGAATTTCTCAACTTCTTCGACTGTAGTCAAAGGAATAACTCATATATATTTGAATTTTGTTAATTTCTGAAGACGGAGGTAGATTTTGGCTTCCAAAACATTAAGATAAGTATTGTATTATTTCTTGACTATTCTTTTTGAAACGCAAAATTATTGAATACAAGTTACTGATAAATAGAACATTTTTCTTTGTGAAAAATACTTTGATTTTACGCAGTAACTTACACCTGTATTAAGTTCTCCATTTTAATTTTCATATTTTTCAGATTGTGGAGGGTGAAAATACATAAAAAAGGCCGATAAAAATACCGATTCTAATATTTTATGAGACAAAGTATTCGAATTGAGAATGTCCGTCCAATATAGTTTTATAGTTATATCATGTTGGAAATCACTGGCACTTTTTATATGATTATACAATTTAGAATATTTTGAGAATTGAATATTACTTTTTGGATTTTTATATGAATTTGTACAATTCCAATGTTGAAGTATCTCATGGTTTTTTTAATATGATTATTATAGCTTTATTTATTAGATGGTGAATAATGTATTTTGTTTTATAGTACCAGTCCAACAAATGAAGCTACCGTGTGGCGAAACACATCTTAAATAAAGTTTTCTGTGAAAATTGGATAATCATCTTTATGCTAGTATTTGTATAAATTATTACTTAGCAGTAACATATCTAAGTAACATGTCTGACTGAGAATTTAGACGGAAAACATATTGAAACTTATCAAAACCTACATTTACATTCACAATATTAATTTATGATACCTTTTCAAATATTTTTCCAAATATATTTCAAAGAGCAATTGGACAATAATTTGAATAATTTGTTTGTTCACCTCTTTCATAAATTGATTTAAAAATTTCAATGATGACATTATTTTTGGAAACTTATACTCACATGTGGATTCTAACCGAAACAAATTGAAGTTTCTCAAAAGGTAGTCGTGTAATGTTAAAAATTGAAGATTGAGTTTGGGTAATGCAAGGCAACCTTCTCCAGAAAAATAAGCAGTAGGTACAATATTTTCATCCCAGATTATATTCTCTGTGGGATACAGAGGCATTTCGTTGAGGGCTTCCAGTTGGGATGGCCGTCTCTCGTGGCGAGATATCTAAAATATAGTGTGGAATTAATAAAGTTAATGTAAGGATGTTTGCTCATTTAGATCAAACATAGTTTAATATACTTTTCATTTTTCCAACTTTAGTTTGGTAATTGATGAAATTATGAATTCTGATATCTCTTCTGCATTGGAGTCATAACAATTTTAAAAGCTTATATCAATCAATCGATTAAATACATTTTTGAGCCATTTGAGCAACATAGTAATGGGAAAAGTCAAAAGTATTTTGATATTTGAGGTTAAATATTCAGCATTTTTTTAAGATTACGTTCGAAAGTTGACCAAAAGCATTCGAAGCTTATTTTTTCTTTGTATTTCATAACATGAAGAAAATTGAACGCACATATTCTTTATTTAAAAATTTTTTTGAAGTCCAATTTGATAATTGAAGTGGAATATATTTCTTCAAACATTGTAGCCAAGATAGTATTTGATAAAAAGCACTTTTTCTTGTTAACTTGGACGATCTAGGGTTATCCATTTTTTATGAAATTTGTGACCTTTATTATGGTTTTTTGAAATGATCTTTGACATAAAGGGGTGAATTAAGTAGTGAAATATTATGAAATTTTTTTAAAAACTAATTTATTTACAAAAATGAGAAAAAAGTTTTTGAATTTGTTATACTGTGTGTCTTATCTAGAGCCCTCAAAAACAACAGTATCCACATAAAACTTGAGCATGTCCATGCTCAAGATATCTTTTCACAAAAGTGAACAACCTTTCAAAATTTCACCAACACTATAACATATCTCATAATAGCCATGATGTTATGAGTGTCGATATAAAAACCTCAGAAGTAGGTACTGCATATATATACACAATGATAAACTGAATAACACTTACCAATAATTCTCTCAAAAAATCCTCATCAGTTCTACACCAGTCATATTCATTCTCTTTTTCAGGAGGAGGTACAAGATTTAAATAAGTGGTAATATCTCTCAATTTTTCTCGTCTGAAAAAAAAAACGAAATTAATCTAGCATATTTAGCCGAGTGTAACGTATATTTCTAGAACACATTTTTTAGTATTTTTATTTACAATTGAGCTGCTTTGACAACGTCGCACGTGTGTAGTCATTGGAAACCGCATAAAGAATATTCCAAGTTAGTTAGTAATTGTAATAAAGTCCACAAGAAACCTTGGCGTTAATATTCAACCACTGTCAAGTACAAAACAAATCAATATATATTCATCATAAATTCATCAAATATTTATCAAAACAAAATTTCAAGTCACCAATTGAACAATCTAACATGACAATATATACATTTATTCTGTAATAATCCGTATTGTCTTTGAATCAAATATTCATAATATTTTTTTCAATTGGAAACTTTACGGAGCATTCTTATTGTTAACCTTAATTTTTTCTCTTAATTATTTGATATATCTAAAATTAGAAATTATCTTCAGTTTTCTTTTCTTTCATCTCCAGGACCTTTTAAAACTTGGGTCACCAAAATACTGTTGAATATTTATCTAAAAATCAATAATTTACTCAAATTGACAGTGTAGAATACAATTTCAAACAGATCAAAATTGTAGTGATTAAAGAGGGAGGATTGAATTTTTGAGACATTTTGCGCTGCCGAAAGATTCAAAATCCTTCCATACTGGAATAGATTCTAAAGCAGTCATTGCCAATGTCATAGATGAGCAAAATCTGAAAAAGTAACTCCAAGCACCCACCTTGTTTCACAAGTTCAATAAGGCAAATGTGAATCACTAAAATTTCTTTTAATCGCTTGTCATTTTGGTTCTATACTGAAATATTATTGCATTGAAATTTTATCGAATGATGAAAATTTGTCTAGACTGGGTTGACAAAAAAAAAGTTGACGTGAGAAATGTAATGGGGAATGTTCCTCAATTTGGGTTTTTACAGCAAATGCAAGTTTGAACAAAATAAAGTTCAGTTTAATTCACGATTTTTTCAAATTCACTTCGAAAAGTATTCAAATAGATGTTTCATATGTTGTGTTTTAATTTTAAAAGGAATTTGTTTCTTATTCACATATTGACAACAGCGCCTATATCAAGTTGAAATAATTTATACGTACCTAGATATTCTACTTTTAACAAGGAATATTATCTTTATAAATCAAAAATTAAGGCAAAATATAAATTATAGTTCAATACCAACTCCACAAGCCACATAAACTACAATTGTTTCGTTATTTATTAGGTCTTTTTATCAAAGCTGAAAGGTGACAACGTACAACTAAGTGACAATCGTCTAAAACAGTGTTGAAAAATCTTCTAGTGGGAAGAAGAGCCTCCAAATCAGTTAAAAGTTCCAAGAATCTTTCGCAGTAGTGAACCTAGAGTAACATTAGTAGTTTGGGTTATGATAAATTTAAAAACTTTCGTTCAATATCAAAATTATTTTGATTCATGAAAAAGGTAAAAAAAATAAATTTGGCAACTGTAGGTCACAATCCTTATATTAAAGGCTTCAGAGAGACTGATTAACTCAAAACTATTTGAATTAATATCGGCGAAGGTCAAGAATAGTTTGATGATGTTTGAACAAATGTAGGGTGCGACCATGCAACGACGCTTTGAATGAAACAAACAAACAAACGAACATGTCCAGCAATGACTAAAAAAATTAATTAATTGTGAAAAAAATTTCAAGTATAGTCAAAGTCAATTCGAATGATATAAAAACTGAATAGTTACCGAACGTCGGCAGTTTCTTTGTATGGCATAGAAACTTTGAATGTTCAAGCCAGTCTCGAATTTACCTACACAGTAGGTTGAATGGACTTACGCCTATCAGAAAACAACTACTCCCCTGGCTAATATCACGAAGGGCGTTGGATTATAACCAACAGGCGTCAGTGCAGGAATCTTCACAGAAAATTTCTTGCATATGCAATGGGCGATACAACTGAAAGAGTCGACCTTCAATTTTGGAACGGACACACTTGCAGACCGGTTTCGGGCTTATTAGCCACTCATCAGTGCAAGATAGTGGCCATCATCGACCCAAAGTCAATGATATTCCATTCGCTTCCTAAGTTGGAGCGAACAACAAAATGTCACTCCATCTAGTGGACGAGGTACTAACCAACTGCATATCCGAATTTTGCCCGATTCCTCTGAATAAGGAAGAAAAACTTTCTAATTAGTCAGTGGGCTATGCTTGAACATTTGAAGTTAATTTCTTTAGATTTGTTTACTGCCAGTCTTCACAGAAAATTTCCTGCCTATGCATATGCAGAAATTTTCTGTGAAGATTCCTGCGCTGACGCCTGTCGGATATAATCCAACGTCCTTCGTGATATTAGCCAGGGGAGTAGTTGTTTTCTTATAGGCATCAGTCCATTCAACCTACTGTGTAGGTATATTCGAGACTGGCCTGAACGTTTAAAGTTCATTTCTTTATATTTGTTTACTGCCAGTCTTCAAGTATAGCCCACTGACTAACGAGAAAATATTTTATATTTGCATTGTTTTGTTAGTTAAAGTATGTGTATTTGCATATAGGGCCTTCTGTGAGATTCTTTCAAATCTCAATGACAATGTCAAAATCTAGTGTAAGAATTTATGACGAAATGATAATAATTAAAATTGATAACAAAAAAGAATACATTCATCGCCTAAGTTCTCCTCTACATTTTGTTTTCTACAAATTGGATGTTGTTATAGTTTGTTGTGTAATATCAAATAATGAATATTAAGTTCCAAACTTTTTGATGACACTGAAGTGTATGTTCAGTGAGTCAAGTATGTGGACCATAGTGCTAGTAGAACACTAATTTTCGTAATACAGCTGAATAATTTGTAGATGCTGGGGAGGGATAAAACACTAATTCGTTAATTCTTTGCTCATCACTGTGTGAATTTCTATGAAAATTAATAAATAAATGGTGAAATGTCAAATACTGAATTAAAAAAAACATGCCAGTTTGATGGTGGCCCATGTGAGGTCTGTCATGATATTCCTAATAGAAAAATTACTCTTAAATTCTTATTGAAAGTAAATATTCAACTTACTTTATCTTTTGGGCAGATCCCATCCTCAGTTATGGAATCTAAAATATTCATAAACTTCAGCATCAAACTATGCAAAAAAGTTCGTTCCCATGTCAGCTTTTCCATTTGTTCAGGCTTGTCTTTACGTTGGATAGCACGCCAGTATTTCCTCCATTTTGGATTCATTTTGAGTTCATATTCTCGTCTTGCCGGCTGCAAGGATATCCACATTGACAAAGAAACCAACCTTTTCACTTGATCACGACACAGAGCTTCTTCCATGCTGCTGAAACAGTGATTCAGAAACACCAAGAGAGCCGTTTTTTCCTCGATGTTTATGAGCAAATCATCTTCCAGACAGGCTCTCATCACTTGTTGGAAGAAGTCTGGAAAGTATTCATCACTTTTTCGAAAAGACTAAGAAAAAAATGTAAATTAGGATGCAAGTAAGCAGGGTGGCCATCATAGGATGAAAGTAAGAATAAACACAGAGTAAAAGGTTCATTTTTTATTATTTTCTCAATAAAAACATTTCTTCCATACACCAGAACTGCAAGACTCTTCTCGACGTAAGTTTCACTAACCAAGTTGGCGTTATAAGGTACTAATCTAAAGTGATGCCAAAACATATAACCGATTTATATTCAACAGAGTAAACTTTCACTTCATTCATTCATACATCAATAATTCAAGTAAAAATTACCGGAAATTTTCCAGGAATCTTTCTGATTATTGGCTTGTTTCTATGGGATTGTAATTATTTTTTTTGTTTTCACAATAATTTTCAGTTCAGGATTTATATGAGAAATGACATGCACATTTTTTTATTCCAAGCTAGAGAACCTAATTTCATGAGTAATTCGCTCTTTGTTCTAATCTTTATCACTTTTATTATATGTTTTTTGTAATGTAAAATTTATTTCGAATCGGTAGTTGAAAATTTCGTGAAAATCAGAAAATGATTGATTCACATTGCAAAAGTTCTCTTCTTTACCTTCACCATGAACGCTGATGTTTCCAGGAATCCATATCATCTTCAATCCTTTTCTTACTATACAAAGTTGCCTCTTCATATCTGAGTTGACAAGTTTTATATCTTAATGAAGATATGGAGAAAATGTCAGCTTGGGTGACAGTAACCAAGCAGAATTATGTGCTAAGAAAAACCAGCCAACAGTTTTATCATAATGATATCAAGGCACACAATTCCACTAGGTGAGTCGATTAATTAGTTGAATGTCAAATCTGATATCAATATATGTTTCGACACATTCACGTTACTGGTATAGCAAAAGCAGCTTCTCAGAAATTTGTAACATCATTTGGAACTGAAAAGTTGGTACACACTTCAATAACCTGAAGCTTCTAGATACTATGCAGAAAAGAGCAATCAGCTTGATTGGAGACATAAACATCACAGGTAACCTTGATAGCGTGGAACATCAAAGAAGGTTTGGAGGACTTGTCTCTTTTCTATAGGCAATTTCAAGCCTGCTTGATTTCACCAGTATATATCAGAAGTGCGCAGCAAAATATAGCTGCCAATCAATTCAAGGTTCAACTCAATACACACTGAACTATATTTTTGAAGAAGTTTTTCATTTGAAGAACGTCTTTATGAAATAAACTTCTTGAGATCGTTTTCCATATAAATATCATCCACAGCAATATAAATCTAACATTAATTGCAATTTCTGCAGTCACCATTCTCAGAGCATTTTGAGGATTTTTCTGCAGTGCTTGTGCATCTCGTTAAAAAACACAGCTGGAAGCGATGGGTATCCTTTGAACATAGTCGATGGTGAGTCCCAGACTTCTTAAAAAGATGATGAATCAAAGTTTATTGTCATTCCATGTGGATCAAGATACTCCAAATGGTTGGATCAAATTGAAAAAAAAGGTCCGCGCCTTTCAAACTTAGTTGGAAAGTGAGAAATTTATGATTTATGAAACAAATTGAGATAACAAACACTAGATGTCGAAGTCCTGAATTAGCAAAGGCCATTTCTTTTCAAAACCACTCTCTTCGAAATAAATCACTTGGAACATTTCCAGGAAAATTTCCTGCTAATACAAATCGGCTAACAAACCACTAGTGTATGACTAGAAGTTAAAGAACAAAATTAGTAAAAATAGGTAAAGTTATTATTCAGTGATTAATTTGTATGGGGATAATTTGATTGGGGAGGCTCATCAAGAAGAGTATAATAATTCTGGGATGTTGGATTCTAGTATAATTGTTTATATTTATTTATCATTCCCAAGCCATTCACACAATTCTTTGTTTAGGAAGAGTATAACTTAAAATACCACTGATTGGAATCTTTTTTGACATTGAACATTAAACTATTTTATTTGAAAATTAGACATACCTGCCAGACTTGCACACGTTCTCGAAATTTCTCATTTACCATTATAACAATCGACAACATATGAGCATTTGATGCTCCAGGTTTATAATTTGGCCACAGAAAATTCTCCAGGTATTGACTGAATTCTAGTACCATGATTCTTCGAACTGAGAAGCTGAAAAATTGAAAAACTTGAACCTGTTTGTGTTCTTGGACCATCGTCTGGTGGAATTTATTAGCATCTTCAGAGGTCCTTGTTCTTTGAAGAGGTATCTCAAATCTTGGAAGAGATAACACAGACCACATACAGTTTTAAAAGATAGCCATGAAAGCTCAAATCTCTTCTTTGACATATATTATTGATTTTGGATTATTCAATCCAGAACTATTAGACATCTCCTGCTGATAAAATTGGAGCCGGCTGAATTTTTCACTAGACCTTTATTTCATCATAGAGTACAACTCGATCAGGATGTCTGAAAGTACTAGCAAGCCTAAGTGAATTTATTTTCAATTAAAAGCCAAAGGAGCAAAAAAATATTTTCTCAATATCTCCTTTTTCATAGACGTAGCTGTTCCTCAAAAAACCATCATGAATTTAGAATTTATGAATTAATAATGTATAACAATGAATTATTCACATATGTAATCAAAACACATTTTTGCTGATTCTCGACAGTGTAGAACTAAATGCAGTCCCCAATAATAATTTTCATATTGACAATACTATCAATTTTTCCACATGTGGATGTGAACTGTCAAATATTTTTGAAGCTATCTGTAAACCAAAACTCAAGTTTTCTGGTAGTTATGCTTGAGTTCCTTTCTAGTTTAAAAACAATGTGCATACACACTATAATGTTCTGCTATCATTTTATTCTGCAAGGCATCAACTTGCATTAAATTTCCAGATAAATTGAAATAAAGCTTTATATGTCCAATTTACAAAAGTAGTTCCAATGAAAGAGTCAATATCTATAAAAAAATATGCATTCAATGAGGCATATCAAAGCTCTCCAATGTTCTAGTCACTGAAAAATCAATTAACATTTGTAAGCTGTTGATTCTCCAAGAACAGCATGGATAAATTTCTCACTGACTTATCTAAACTTTATAAAATCCAAAACATTAGTCATTCAACTATTGAATAAATGATTGTTGATTTTTTCTCTCTTTGTGGTATTAAGCTGATTGTACTTTTGTAATATGAACTGATTTTTTTTCATTTATAAATAACTAAATATGTTCAAAAAAACTCACATCCTTTTTTTCCAAGTGACCATTAAAAAAAAAAATTAATTTGAAGAAACATCTTGGAAACAATAGAAATTATGATATTATGGAATTCTCTACAAAAATGGTATCTCACTTTTTTTGTAACGAGGTAATATTTCTTCATCTGGTTTCCCCAAAAAAATATGCTCAAAAAAAATTGTTTTTGAGTTGGTTTTCATTTATTTTTCTGGATAACATGGTGGCTTTCATCCAGATGACCTGTTTCGCAATATAGGGGTACTGTATTGGTCAAGATCTGTCCTAAATTTTTTTGACAATGAAGTTTCAGAAATTTCTCATGTCTAATTGTATGAAAAAACAATAACAATGGGCTGCCCTGTTATCCAGATGAAGAGATGATGATAAACAGTTTTTTGCCAGCTTAATATTAGGGATTAGGTCCATCAGAGACACCTTTCAATTAGAGAAAAAGTGACTTCTATGAAAAAACATATCAAAACTTTTTTTTAGAAAACTTGATAATAAACAAACGAATTATTTTAATTTTATGATGATTACTGAGATATCGAAAAAAAATGTATTTGCTTCTTTGCCTTTGCATTTTTTTCAACCGTGTTTAAACCGATTCACTTTTGTTTTATCAATAACTCCCGATACGGGAAATGAGATTAAGCCAACTTTGTACACATGTTGATAGCTGGAACAAAAATCGTTTCCATCTCTGTGAATGGAATGCCAAAGTACTTCGAGTGTTTTCATCTAAAGGTTTTACATAGGGAGGGGTACAAGTGATTACATCATGGTATTTCTATCCATCTTACTCTTCATAATGCAGAAAATTTTCAGAAAAGAAATAGCCTGCTTCAATTTAAAAATGATAATTTATTTATTCATCCGAAGAAATATTAGAGAATTTACTGGCTTACTTGCTTCCTCGAATGTCTTGCATGTAAATATCTTCTATAACGTTAGGATCAAAAGGTAAATGTTTCTCTTCTGAATGAGGAGCCCAATACTTCTCTGCAAGCTGCAAGAAATATTATAAATAAATTAATTGAGATGTGTATATAATCGTTAACATTTTTACCTCTGTTATTCGGTCCCCAATTATCTGTTGGACCGTTGGGGCAATAGCAGAACCAGCCTCAGTATTCTTAGACATCTTGAGCTAACAGTAAGTGAATATTGATTTTATCACTTTGTTAATACTGACACAATTACATTTTTCTCAAGACAGGAACTGGGCAAAATGAGGTGAATATTTTTTCCAGAAATAGTACTCTGTTGAAAAATGTGAAGACCTGCAAAAAAATATTCAGTATCAAACTTCTTATGGTTTACATAATTTTTGAAATGCTTCAGTATGGAAAGATAAAATACTTTATCACAGAAACTTAGGCTTTAACAGTATCAATAAGAATTTAAATTTTGTTCAATCAACCCACCTGAGCAAAAACTTCTCATCTAATAATCATTTGTTAAGTCTATATTAATGCAAATGAATTGCATATCAACTGGATTTCTGATAATAAATATTAGCCAATAAGGTAAAACCCTATCAAGAGTTTTTTTAAGGAATGATGTTTGAAAACAAATCAATTCCAAAATTATATTTTTCTAAATGGAATTTCCGTAGACGGTTTTCCCAAATAAATATAAACTATGATTCAATTCCAATGTAAAGCCACTATCACATAGGCACCGCTCTCAGATTGTTTGAAGTACTTAATTGCAGAGATTATACATGATAATAATAATAATAAGAGTGCTATATTACCATCTACGGCACTCTTACGGTATTGACGAGACACCGGTGTTGCCCTACGCTCCGGGGGATATTGAATCCGTTGTGGGAAACGAGAAGTGCCGAAATTATTGGAACTATTCGTTCCCCACCCTCAGGCTCATACAAGCTAATAAGCCTGATGTAGTCCTTCTCGACCACCAGACCAAAACGATATTTGTCGTGGAGTTTTCAGCTCCTGGTGAGACGAATATCGTCAGAAAAGAGGAGGAAAAACGGATAAAATATCGAGATTTTCTCTTCAAACTCCGCAGACTCTATCCAGATCACTCTGTCAAGATGGTTGTTCTGATTATTGGAGTCCTTGGAGGAATGATGTCCTCTCTACTCTCGAATCTTAAAATCATACCGGCTTGCCGCACTAAGGCAGAAAATTGTAGAAAATACTAGGTCAAGTCTAGTAGAATCCGGAAAAACCCAAGCACTTACTCGCGGGATAGTACATGCTAGACCAAGTAAATGCTAGGTTTTAACGTTCCTATCACGACATGTTCTCCCCTCCCCTACCTTTCAGTCTACACCACATCGGCGGCCTCTCTCGCACTCTGTTCAACCACGTGCTAGAAGATGTATTCATCATCAGAATAATCTGACAATGATTTTAATAAAATAGAAAAAATTGATCACACTCTGTTTGTACGTTTCCTTTCGGATCACATTGTCTTACTTAGCAAATCAAAAATCCCTGCTGTGATGAATGCTAAGAGAGAAGCTTGGGAAACCTTACGTTCTGACTACTGTGGTGCATTGGGGAAACAAGTTACTGTAGGCCAACTAATAAAAGCATTGAACAATGTTAAGTCTATCATCAAGAAGAAGACTGACGTAAAAGTGACGGGAGTTGATAGAAGATGATAACCGAGTATTCCATAAAATCCCGGGTAATATTTCAGTTGGCACAAGTTCCGGGCTCCCAGTTCAGCAACCAACCAGTGATGACATCCAAGAAAGTTTGTCGAATACAGAAACTGAAGAGAAACCAAATAAAAATAAAGAATCGAAGAGTCAAGAAACAAAGAAGCCGATGAAACCTAAATCTGATGCCGACCACCACGAAAATAAGATCAGCAAAAGTGAAAAAATTGTGTCGAATCATGAAGCAGATGAAACTAAAGACCTGTCCACACCGCAGTTGCAAAGGATTGTTTTGTTGCAACAATATAAACTGAATAAGATCATACTGGAGAAGGAAACTATATTGTTGGGAACCATGAAGAAGCAAACCGTTGAAAAGTCTACTCAAACTGATGTAACTGTTGATGATTGCCATACTTTATTCACATTGTAATTAATTGTAAGCTTCATGAGTTATATTTTCCTTTGGATTGTAATAATGTAGGATTCTTAGGATTCAATTCTTACCATTGTAATCAAACTTGTAATTTGAAATAATTCAGTAATGGTGTGAATAAAAACTAGTATATAAAATAAGATGATTTTATTCAGTAAATAAACAAAACCCATATCCCCAAAAAAAAATATATACAAAATTGTGTGCAAGTAGGTGCTTGCGTGAGAAAAACATGAAAACGTTATTAAGTTCAATTTCACAAAAACAATTTCCTCACTGAATATTCAAATACGCCATCATATTGGCACGCTTGTCTTTGCCTCTTAATGTTGTGTCGGGATTTTCATAACGAACCACCCCAGGTTGGTCATCTTCATTTGGGACGCTATCAAGATCCCCATACTCAAAGTCATCCTTTAGCTACTTGGCAATGTTGTGTAGCACAGCGCAACTGACTACCACTTGTGGAATGTTGTTTAATGCAACTCTAACACAGTTTCTCAGGATTGGGATTTTCAACTGGCCAAAACACCTTTCTATTATAACCCTTTCTCTAGCATGGATTAGATTGAACTCTCGTTCTTGATGCGTTCGTGGAGGCTTGAACGGTGTAATCAACCACGGCAATAAACCATATCCTGAATCTCCTAAAAGACAAACTGCTCCATCATACTGACACGATGTCTCTGACATGACTATTCCTCCACACTCTGCCGTCATGAACACTGTCGGGCCACTCCGCACTAGTATTTGTAAACTGTTCCAATGCATTGCATGTTGCCTGGACATTCATACTAGGATATCCTTTTCTACAAATATACTCATCGCCGTGCAGCCCAGGCTTTTGTATCTGAATTTGAGTACAATCAAGGACACCAATTGCAGACGGCAAACGAAAATGTCTCTGCCACAAAACCTTAGCCTCGGTTATATCTTCAGCTGTAGTTGGAAACCGTATCCAATTATGTAATTGTTCAACAACTCTACTCATCACGTACCTTATAGTCTTGTTAGCAATAGTACGATGTACACCCATATCTTGAGCTACACCAGACTGAAAGCCAGGATCACCCACAAACCTCAGACATCTTTCCATTTGCTGTCTTCTGGAAATACCACCGCCACGAGTATTACCTTCTTCAAGAAACTGTGCCGCAAGGAAATCAACACTCTCACTGTTAAACCTGAACAGTTCTTTACAATTACGTTCGTTTATTCCAGAGCGAACAGAATAAATTTTACATTGACGAAGAGGCATAAACTCAGCCATGATCAACAACAAACTGTGGACTGAGCAGACAGGTAGTAAATGCTAGGAAAAAGTCTAGCATGCCCCAGACCAGGCTTGAAAATATCGAAGCATATGCTAGGGAACAATCTACTTCAAAAGTTTTATTCACACCATTTTTTGAGCATTTACTACTAGTCCGGGAAAACTCTAGAACTTACTACCCCTAGCAGGGGTAGCATTTACTTAAGAAATCCCTAGTATTTGCTTATACTAGTTTTTATTCACATTACTGATTGTTTTGTAGGATGACAATAACAAAATGTATCCTAGTATTGAAGGAAATCATCACCATTATTCATAAATGAGTGTTTTGCAACATTTGTTTCACAATACAATAGCCGTGGAGAATGTAATGAAAACGTCTGGCTACTGTATAAACAAATGTTGCGGTTTTGTGAATTGCTAAGTGAAAACCTTAAAATGAAGGGTTAGTTACATGACCAATTCCATCACATAACAAGAACTGGCCTTCAACAACTAGAATCGAATAGATAGGTTTAATGCCATGTTGACATATAAATGATGTGTCTACTTAATTTTCTCTAACATCTATCTCAACACTCCTTCCAGCTGAAGAAATAGGGATGAATTCATAACCATAGGTTTCAACCAATTGTATTATTTGATACCTTCAATTCAAAGATACTAAATAACGATCGCAACTTCGTATAAAGATACTTACTAGAATAACTGGAAAGAAGATACAGAAAATAATAATTATTTTACCATAACCGCAATTTTGTTTATTTACAGCCGGTCGCGGTTTGACTGGTTTGACATTTGACGCATAGAGAAGCATGTAGGTAGGTATAGAAGTAAGTATAGACCTGTCCGAGATGCTGTCAAAATTAAATCAAAATGGCCTCCTGTAGGCACACATGTTGTTTGTTCTAATGGAAAGAAAACTAGAAAAGTCCATAATCAACTTGTCTTTGTGAGTGATTGTGTTGCTACTTGCTTCATAGTCACCTTCATTTTCATCAGGTCGGAAATTTTTTCCCTCACCCTTTCAACTGAGATTCGTCAGGAGGACGAATGGTTCATAACGTAAGGTGTTTTGATGGCGACATAAAGGTCAATGACCTCTATGCCACTTGTGGCCTTGTGTACCCCTTCCTGACTGGGATATTTGATGAACAAACTGTTCATCTTAACAGACGTCGTGGGGCCTTCACTGAACCGAGCGACGGGGCCTTCTGAATCGAGTGGTGTCATCTATAGTGTAATCTACAGCTTCCCTAACTAATGGGTTATCATCAGTTTCCGCTGACTCGAAAACTCTCTGAATGGACTGCCGTATAGTTAACAGCTTCAAATCTCTGCGGATGGCTTCATTCCGCATGAACCATGGAGCATTCTCCAGCATCCTGAGAAGTTTATTTTGCAACCTTTCCAAAATGGAGAGGTTTGACTGAGCGGTTTGTCCCCAAGCACCTGAAGCATACATGATGACAGGTTTGAACATCGTGTTGTATAGTAAAATCTCATTTTTAAGATTGAGTTTTGAATTTCAATTGACCAGAGGATAGAGTTTAGCTATCCTCAACTGCACTTTGCTCTTGATATAATCAATGTGATTTGCACAGGTGAGTCGGTGGTCTACCCAAAGACCTAGGTACTTGACTCGCGTTTGCCATTCGATCTCCCTGCCTGAAATCGTGACCCTTGTGTCTGGAGAAACTTTACGTCTCCCCAAGTCTATCGCCTGAGTTTTTTTCTGGATCCACTCGAATCTTCCAGTCAAGGTACCAGTGTTCGACGTCGTCCAATGCGCGTTGCATGTAGACGACCCTCAACGCTCGACCCATGAAAGAAGCTCAGAGATGGAGTTTTCGACCAGTCTCAGGGCCTGCAGCTCGGTGGGGTGTGCCCTCCTGAAGCCGAATTGTTCGTCAGGCAGAACATTTTGGTCTTCAACTTCTTCTGTTAGCCTTTGCAACACAACACGTTCAGCCAACTCAGCCGTTGAGCAAAGCAGACTAATCGGACGATGATTCTGGAGAAACAACAGGTTCTGTCCCTGTTTCGGAATCATGACAATTACGCGGCATGCTTCCATCTTCGAGGGAAGTATCTGAGAGTGATTGAGCTGTTGATGATGTCCAGCAGGTATCTGATGAAGTTCTCCGGGAGCTGCTTCAACAACCTGTTGTTGATTGAATCAATTCCCGGAGCCTTCTTGGGTTTGGAGGCCCTAATAATGTACCCCTTCAGTTCTTTCTATGAAGCTGGACGGATCACGTCGTCATCATTTTCACTAAGGATGCGCCGAACCCGATGTTCCAGCCGGATATCACGGTCAATATCATCATCCGGATCAACGTTAAGTCGAAACTGACTCTCTATTGTGTCTGCAAAGGCCAACGCCTTCTCGGCGGGGGAGTAGCAGATGCCGCGCTGTCTGTGAAGAGGGGAGGGAGCGGTTTTCCTTCTTTCGAGCCTGCGGATGACTCGCCAGAGCTTGCCATCCCCAGGTTCGAGCGATTCCAAACACTCGTTTCTATAGTCAGTGATGGCCTGTTTAACCTGGTTGGCCATCCTGCTAGCCGCAGCCTTGTCTCTAGGGTAGAGATAACGCTGAAAAACTCGTCTAAGTCGATTTCTCTCTCGGATAAGGTTCTTTATCCTGGGAGGAAACTCATTGTAGCTCCGCAGAGGACACTCTGTCCTGGTTGTGGCTGCGTGGAAAGCGTTGTTCACAGACAATTCGAAATCTGCCACTGCCGCGTCGAGACTGTTGCGAGTTTGAAGCGCCTCACGATCTGTACGTGTCTCCACTTGGTGAGCCTTGAAGGCGTCCCAATCCGTGGATGATCTCATGCGATACACCTGAGGAGGGGGATCATCACCCAGCATCAGGATGACTGGATTATGATCTGAGTCAAGTTCCGACAAAGTGTACACTTCGCAGGACATGGAGACGTTCCTGAGCTGTGCGATATCAAGCACGTCAGGCCTTAAATCCCCACGGTAGAACGTGGACTCATCTGGACCCATCACTCGATACTCATGCCTGTCAGCATGCGCATGGAGCGCTCGGCCGTTCGCATTGTTGAGTCTGCTTCACAGATTGTGCTTGGCGTTGAAGTCACCAACAGCAATTGTGGGAGTATTTGTCGACATCAGCAGTTCATCCAGTGATTCTGGGAGTAGACGATTCCGCGGAGGGTTGTAAACTGAGATTAGTCTATGACGACTTCTTCTCAGTTGGAGCTCAACGCCCACGGCCTCCGTGCCATGTAACTGATCCGAGTCAATGCCGAATTGTAAGTGAGGAAGATTACGTTTGACAAAAATGCCAACTCCTCCTCCAGCACATCCAACGCGTCCTCTGTGGTAAAAACGGTAGTTTGGAATACCGAAAGGTTCATTGTGCAGGTGGGTTTCCTGCACCAGTGCAACATAGATGTTTTGTTGTATTAAAAAATTCTCGAAATCTAATTTCTTGTTTGAAATACTGTTGGCATTCCAAAATACAACCTTAAGAGAACTAGTCAATGTAGGTTGTCTAGCCATTAACAGGTTCCAGTTAGCACGTTGGTGTTCACAGTAAACATCTTCTCGAGTACGGGGAACTGAATGAAGAGTTTCTTTATCTGGTCCAGAGCGGAACAGATGTCACTAACCTTCGACGAGCGGGGACAACTGGGTGCCTCGTTCGGCCTGGCGGAGGTGTTACCGCTCTTGGCTGCTCCTGCGTAGCTCATTCCCGGGCGTGTGCCAGATGCTCCGGCAGGATGCTTTCCAGGTATGGGTGCACTTCAGGGGGCATTTGAAGCTACTTTGGTCCTCCTGCGAACCCTGGGGAACTCAGGACAACCGCGATAGTTTGCAATATGCACACCCTTGCAATTATTGCACTTGGACGGATCTGCTCGTAGCTTCTTGAACTCACCTGAAAGGTGTCTGCTGGCGCATTTGACGCAAATGGGAATAGCTAGGCAGTTCCGTTGGTTATGCACGAACCGATGACATCGGTGACACTGCCCTACCAGTGTTTTTTGGTGTTGGGGCTCAACCTTAACTTTAACGTTAAGGAAATCCTGCATGTCATAAATATGCTTCTGATTTTGGTTCACTTGAACCAAAACCAGGGGGAGCGGTCGATTTCCTCGCATCATCCTGGTGACGAATGATGGTTGAAAACCTTTTTCAACCAAGGCATCCTCGATTTCAGCGGTCTCCAGATGTTCCGGGACTCCTCTGAAAACGGTTCTGATTTGCCTGTCTTCAAGTAAGGTATACGTGTGGTGTGGAATCTTTTCCCTCACCAATAGTTTGGATATACTCCTGTAGTCCTCGGCCGAAGAAGGCTGAACCTTGATGCCGTCAGCCATGTTTACTGCCTTGGTGTTTTTCTGGTGCTTTGGGGCACCTCAGGACGCCACCCTGTATAGTCGAAATCAATTTTCAGACCTATTGTCGTCAACCAACATTTCATGGTCACCTTCGACGGAAGACTCTGTTGTTGAGAGTTCTGACTCTGAAGTGTTGTTCTTGGCTTCGTCCCGGAGCTTCGACATCTTTTTAGCCACTTTTTTGGGCTTGTTGCTGGTATTTTCGTTTACTGGAGCGACTGGTTTGTATGGAAGAGGAGAAAACTCTCCTGGAAGGCGACGCTTTTTGTTGGCCGGTTCTTGAGGCTTGATCGCATTGTCGTTGTTTGTCTCAGACTGAGCAGAGATGGTGGTGTCGACGGGAGTATATCTGGAGAATACATTCCGTGACGGACGCTCGAGAAGCCCCTTGGCCCTTGGTAGAGGGCCAGAGGGCTCCCGAACTGCCGCCACGGGGCTGCCCCTTAGCAGTTCTGATGGACTCAGGCCCAGGCAATAAAGCAATAAACCCATGAAGGTAATTACTTCACCTCTGTCGCTGGCTATCAGGCTGTCAAGCAGTTCCTCCATACTGCTGTCGAAAAACTCACACCCTTTGATATCCCAAGGGTAGGCGATGAACAGTTCCGTAAAAGTGATAGTTTGAACGCACTCACCAGAAGTCTGGAGGGTCCTTGCGCACTACAACCAACGCACTCACTAATAGGAGATATGTAACTACTGGTGAATGGCTGATCATCCACCAGAAATAGTCGTATTTGTGGAAAAAACTTCGAAATTATCGCAGCGAAAAATATTCTGTATGTCAGTTTGACAGCTAATTTGGAGTATATTTGCTGCTTGCTGAAATTCGTTGTCTGAGGCTAATTTTACATATCAATCGTCCTTCATAACATAAAATCATGCATACAACGTGTTGTGTTGTAAATTGCGGAAGCTGTGGGGATCGTGATCGGTGAACTTTTACAAAATACCTTGTGAATTTCTGCTTTTACCAAGGGAAAGAAGCAGTTGCATCCCATTGAATTAGAAATTAGAAGTCATTGCACATGTCAGGATTCATGTAGAAAGAGTAGGTTGCATTCGTCAAAAATATAGGATTCTATCAGATTGTGCCAATTTCTCTGCTTGTTTGTGGTGGAGATGATACGATCTTGGATAAAATAGTGACTGTGTGTAGTGGATTGATTTATATCTGCCCACCAATAGTACCTTTGAGTTAGATTGAATTTATAATAAAAAACCTCATGAAATTGTTTTTGTAAATTGTATATACTTAAGTCTAGATTTGTATTTTTGTTCCAACTGTTGTGATATGTTTTATTGTATTGTATGATTGCAAAATCATATATTTCAGATCATGGAGCTGAATTATAATAAATTTTTGGTATATTCAATTGGTACGTAGGTCAGAAACTAGGTTTCGTTAGTATTTAGAATATTTTTTGTTC